CATGATATTCTTCGTATGGTAATCACTCCAATAATATATTGATTGATGTGAAAATGTATAAATAAATCTTTGTTAAGCTTTGGAACAATATATTTCTTCGTAAAGACTTTCTTCGTCTGTAGAGTCGTTTGGCAGCTGCGGGAGCTCCCTCACATAATTCACCCTGATTGGATAATTAATGTCTATTTCGCCAATATTCTCGTAAATCCTGTCAATCACGCTATTTGGTTCTTCGTCAAAGCTTTCATCAAAGCCCTCAAGGTCTTCACTGAACGAGAAGCCAAGGTTTTCAATTTGTTTTTCATGCTTTAGATCCTTTACAACGTCGTATGCCTTTACGTAATCCTTTCGTTTCACTATTGAGCCGTCGGACTGGGTGTGACTAGTTTTACTATCATCTATCATGAAAGAAGGATGTATAAAGTCACTACTGTCCCTGTACACTGGATCATCATCGTCTTCTTTCTTTTCCAAACACTCTTTATCAGTTGGGAAAGTGGTGATGTCTTCTATACTCGCATAGAAAGGATTAGAATAATTCAACTCTGTTGCTTGCATGTCAGTTTTTCTGCTTCGTTTTGTCTTCTTTGTGATGTCACCATGACCAATCTGCGTTGTTGGTTTATTAATTGATCTGTCTGACTTTGCTTTCTTTAACTTCTTATGYACTTTAGCATATAATGCGTTTTTATCATATCCAAGACTTGGTTTAATGATAGGTCTACTATATATCGTACCTACTCTGCGCGCAGGCTCGGAAGACACTTTCCTCAATGCTTGTCCCTCAGTCATTTTGCTGTTTGAATTCGACGCATATTTTGCACTAACGCGGCAATAAGRCTCAGAGACCATCTTTCTGAGCTTCTTCCCTGGAGAGCGATGGTGCTTTGGAGAGATTTCTGGACTGGTTTTGCGTTCTGGTGTGTTACCTGTAAGCTCTGGATCAGAGCGCACCTTGAGTACCTTCTGGGGGTTGTTGTTCTTGTCTATTTGTGAATGATAAGCCATAAAAATAGCAAAGTCTTTTACATCCTTGCTAATGACATTACAAGGATCAGATTGTATCTTTCGCAGAGGTTTTTTTTCCATTTCTAAGTTCTTTTTCACGACTTGTTGTGACGCAGGAAGTGCTGCTCTGCCAACCCCTAAATCTTGATCATTGGGTTTTTCTTTTCGCGAGGAACAATACTTCGGACTTTCGTTAAGGAATGAATCTTCTTGTGAAGAAGGTGGCGAAGAGGATGTGGATTTTCTTTGTCTGATAAAACCTCTTTCTTTCTCAACTRTGGCGCTATTACTATCAGGAACCACCTCAGCCTCGAGTTCTTCTTTTGGTGTTGCAAAACGTTTGCTAAGGTCTCCTGTAAAAATGTTTGAAGAGAAATTCAATAATATATCCACGTTTGTAAGTAAGATGTAAGGTTTTATCACATGCAACAGTTCATCGATCGAAAGAGTGGGGTTGGGTGTGATGAAAACAATGAATCAGTGAGATGCTTCAGCTCAATTGCCTGTGCAATAAGCGTTTTCTTTCCTCGGAGGAAGAAAATCAAAAAATGGGATACCCATACACGTGCATGCGACGACAAAAAATATCACCTCGGTATGTGCGTCGAAACTCCACACAATCACCCAAAATGAATATTGTAAATGATTCCCCTTTCCCCATACAAGAAAACGCTTGTCGTATAGTGGGCATCCAGTGCTGTATGCCGATTTTTATATGTAATAGGACTCCATGCTGTCCAATTAAGAAATAATTGGACGAGGAAAATTCCGAGGACTGCCAAAAATTGGACGAGGCCGTGGCCGAGTCCAATTTGGCAGTCAGAGGAATTTTTCGAGTCTAATTATTTCTTAATTGGACAGCATGGAGTCTTATTACCTATTAATTATATAGCCACATATTGATCCCAAATAGGTAAAAGCCAACCAAAAAAAGTGATAGCAAAAACCCAATTGAAAACCTGTCCAATTAATTTCTAATTGGACAGGATTCCAAAATTAACGAAAAATCCAGCTTTTACCTATTTGGGATTAATATGTGGCTATATAATTATTATATTAACTACGTACCTTTCTTTGGAGTTGTCATCTTTACATACGCAACAATGATGATGATGGTTACCATAGCAATCAAGACCACACATGCAACACCTGTCATCCAATCAGGTAGCGAGTAGAGACGAGCAGACAACTGGAAAAAACGGCAAGCCATAGTCAATACGTATTCCATTTCTTTCTTGCATTATCTAAACAGACCTTAACTCTTGTCACATCTAATTCAGAACCATCGAAGGGAGAAGACGTTCTTGRCTTTCCTGGAAATTTATCGAAGATAATCAAAATTGTCCCTTACATTGCCCACAAGCTTACTTAATGTTTAAAAGCAGTACGCATATGAAGGATTGGCATCGTATCCAGTTTTGATGATGAGAAAGGCGATRGCGTGTACAGGGTGTGGACATGGCGCCACTTAACTCTTCGTAGCTATTTCAAAGCCAACTGTGGCTCATAATCCTGCTGTGACGTCATAATGAATATGTGGTCATGAAAGGACCTAACATTGTTCCCAGGTAATTTTTTCATCTAGATTTTATATCTAACAGGGACTTCACTATGCAAATAAATTGTATTACAATAGTTTTGCAGAAGAAAGATGATTAATCACCTACCTATAACTTTCAAAGAAATGCTTTTCTTGATGATACCATTACTGTCATTAGTTATACAAGTATATATACCAGAATCATTTCTTTCTAGATAAGCGAATGTCAACCATCCATTCTTGTCGTCTATTATCAATTTACTTCCCGTGTAGGTCAGGTTTACACCGTCTTTTGTCCATGATACCAAGTGTGTAGAATTATCAACTAGCGAACACTTTAGCTGCAATGTTGTGTTTATAAAGCGAACTATCTGTATTACTGTTTGTTGGCTTGTTGCATTGGYAGGTTTTGCCATGGCTGTAGTTGTGTGATACCCTACCATCATCATCATCATAGCAATGGCTAGTAAATTGCATGATTGACACTCTTGCATCTCTGCTGATAAAGATCGATTGTCTTGCACATCAGTAATATTGCACAGCGGTCCATTTTAGGACCATTATAATCAAATTGTTATAAGAAAGAATACTAAAAGAGTAACAGTCTTCTTAACTTGAATGAAATAAAGAAAAACATTCATCCTATGATTGTTTCATTTCTTGAGCAATGAAGATGCAAAATTGCTAATAMATCAAAAATAAAGTAGAGTTGCTATGATTTGAATTCATATGGAACGTTCAGTCAATAAAGTTCGTGWAATATATGAGTTGTTATCTTGTCAGCAACCCTATGAAATATCCATTKAATATGATATTCGAAAATAAATTAWAAACCTACCAGCTTTGAMAAGTCGAATGATGTCTTGTAAATGCAAGATAACGTGGTTTTACTCTTCCAGCAAGGACTAGTGCATTGCGRGTGGTAGAAAATATGTTCGGTAAGAMACAAGTATTTCAAAATGACTATTTGTTTTGTTTTATTCCCGCGCWCTAATGCGCTCCTTATTTGCATGGAAAGTCTTGAATTCTGATTGGTTGCGCTACTCCTTAGGGGATCAACATCTTGGTATAACAAAAGAACTTTGACTGGAATAGACTACCCCAATCAGGAATTACTAAACTACTAATGGAATCATTTAATACGATGGTCTAAGAGGGTAGCTTAATTAAGTTAATCTCTAGTGTTGGCATACGAAGTCGACTGTATTCTACTATATTATTATTTGTGTAGTTTCTTGATGTTTTTCTATTTACAAAACGCGTACGTTAACTKATTGTAATACTGAGATTAGAAGGTGGAAATGGAAAATGAAGTCCACGACGTTCTTTAGAAATTTGGTTCAGCAACACTGCGCAGGAGGAATTGTAGTCGTATAATCAATGTAAACAGCCATCGCGGCTTAGTATCTATAAACAAACAAACAAATCAACTCACTATATTTGATTTCTTAATGTTTGTATTATTTATAAAAACAATAAGGTGTCTTAAACATTTTCCAACATTTATCATTTACCTTTGATTGCTCGATTCTATTGTATAGCCTGTAAGTAAACCCGTCTTTGCTGTCGTTTTGATCAAGATTATAACTACTGAAAAGCTCACACATGCGCTGACCTGGCTTAGCCTTGAACTGATAGTTGTATGCACGACAGTTGTTGTTACGTAGGCAGTGATCTCCGCACTGAAATTCAGAGACCACGTGATAGGTGGCGATTTTTTCGCYGGAAGTGATAACATCGTTAACAGATGATGCGTAGTCTTTGTTGTAAGGGGATTTCAACGCTGAAAATTCGCACATCTGTGTTTTTGGGGCTAAAAGAAATGCAAGTAAATATGAATATATCATGCTTTGCATTCTCCTGAACTTGTGTCAGTCACATGCTGATTCTTCTCGTTTTCCCATAGTTCTCAACGAATTCTTCCTCGAGGATCTGGTGCTATTTGACTACGGCGATATAAAAGTAAGGAGCTTTTCAAACTGCGATCTCATGGAAAAAGTCTTCAAGACTCATGAAATTTTCTTACCAAATGAAGCCAGTAACATGATCATAGTGACCATGGCAACATTGGTGATGGACATTTGCTTTGATGATATCATCTACCTAAAAATGGACAATTAACTTGATACAGTTTTTGCTATCGTGAATGGCTACAATGCTATCTTGATTTCGTGTGAATTACCGCCGTATTTTAGAACTGTTTCCCGCGCCCTTTAACAAGTTAATGCTCTATATCAAATACTTAAATACATGAGAATCTGGCCAATCAGCGATGTCCAGTCATTACTTCTACCACTTAGTAGTGTGAGCGATAGGACTTCTATTATATTAAAACGTTTCATCTGTTTGCACACGTTATTGACATCTCCTGGCGGAAATTGTTTCGAGTCRAGAAAAACCTTAGAACTACAAAACAAACACAGCCGCTTTCCTTTGAATATGACTTGAACCTTTTTTCGTGTGGATGGGGTACTAAGCCCTTTAACGAAGCTTATATCATTATATCTTACATCCTGTATAAAGAGCGCGAATGTGCGAAAGATGAAATTAGAAGCGCTAGCTCACATTGGATAGCCATGAGACTGAATTTAAATTAAAAACGATTAAATTTGACAGAATTTATCTGACAAGACTGCGACATCTTAATTGTTACGAGGCAAAGACAGAAACCCCTAATTAATGATGCTTCTCATGTAACGTCAACCATCAGAAAAACAAATTTACTGATGTTATTACATGATGGCCGCAAACCTAAATTTAGTCAATGCAATGATCTCTTCGTCTCTCTAAACCAAGAGTTCTGGATAATATTTAATACAGCAAAATGTTATTTTTCTTATTTAGATTGTCTTTATGTACACGGAATGTAACGATTTTATAATCAGTACRGATGTAAACAGCTATAACACTGATAACACAAAATTTGTAGAATCCGCTTCAAACCGCGGTCCCCCCCCCCCCTCCCCTAGTGAACCTATGTATATATACAGGGTAATAACGAGGTAAATGGGATCAGCGTTATTTTTACGTATCGTTACTGTATATAGCTACATATTCATAGTCTCATTGCGAGACAGTCAATAAGAAGGGTATCTTAGTCAGCTGCCTATACGAGATATAAAATAAGAATTACCTTCTGTATGCCCGAGGTCCTGCTTGATAACTCCAGCGGCAAAAATGTGCTAACAAGATGTGCGGCGATCAATATAGACATTCAAAGATGTTGATTTTAAGGACAGCTGCTGTTTAATACCCTTCCTAGTATGCTAGCATATGAACGTCACTTGTCCAATAAAAACGATTGCTACTTTGTCATACCGATTCATTAACAGCAAAGCTGTGAGAAAGTAAGACAAGAAGCCCGAGTAAGTTAGCTCGGCCAAACACGTCAGTGAGACCACCACTATACAGACTTCAAAACGCACTTATTGCGGTTATATATCGCTCTGTACCTTTCAGTCATACGGATACTTCATTTGCAACTTAAAAACTGTTTACAATGTTACACGTAATAAACTTTAGAGCCCGCCAGACCATCTTGCAGTCCTGACTGCATCAGATGTTTAGGGATCGCCGCATACCTTCCCCTCCCACTCTAGTCCCCAAGCCCGTGCGCAAATTAGCAAGGAAAGGCAAGATCTCCGATATAAATGTGTTTCGTATATGTTTTTACTACCTAAATTTGTTTACTTTATGTATTAGTGTCTACAATAATATGTCTATTTACATGATTGATGCATTAAGGCATCGCAATTTGGAAGATTATATTGTATACTAGTGCTTCTATGTATTCAATTCATGAGTCAATTCAAGCGAAGCTTATTGTGCCCACCTCTCTGATTCACTGAGTTTTTTTAACAACTAACTTAACCTTTTTCAAGAGTCTAAAATCAAGTTGCTGACGGATTTAAGTTTTAGAAACTGTATGGTCTTATTAATCATTTGTACTACTCAAACAATGATTTTTCTTTGTGTAAAATAAATTCCCTGTGATAGAAAAGCGAATAAAAAAGAATAACGAACACTGATATCAATGTGCCGTTTTGGGATTCCTGCGTTATAAGGAGGAGTTCGCTCTACAAACCACATGATCACATTTTCTGCAGACAAACACAGAAATCCCTAGTCTAAAAAAAATTGCCTTCAGAAATCCTAAGCGTAGTATTCAGATGATAATTTACAACAATAAATGGCATTATTCATCTATGTGCATTGAAGTAAGGATTGACAAATGAGAATCCTCTAAATTGCCCTTGGTCCATGGACAACAACAAGTCCTTGTCAGTGGGTGTAAATTTAGGCGCTTCCATGGTGAAATCTGGGTCAAAGTTACTTGTATCCTTGGCGTCTTTCTGTTGAAATAAGACAGAAAAAAAGAATAAGAATACGAAAGATGAAGTGCGGGTTAAGATAGTCAATGATGATGATGATGATGATGATGAAACGATAATAAGGGAAAGAGATCAGTCATTGGGGAATGATAGTCATGATTTCCATAATGGCTTCTAGGTTAACTTACCACTTTAGGTTTGAATGGTGGTTCAATCTGCCTGGCTTCAAGTTTTTGCCAGTTAATCGCCTTGAAGAATCTATGTCCTCTAATGTTGGGGTTTGTGCCATGTCTGTAACCTAGTCGATCGACTGGTGTTCGCTCAAACAACTGAAATTTATAATATCATATAATAAGGGTTAAATAACGTAATTTTATTACACAAAAAGAACAATACAATAGTAAGTCCAGCAGTTTGATTTCGGCATTGTTTTATGCAAAAAGCCACAGAAACCAAAATGTGAAATCCACATGCTTTGGTTTGAAGTCATTAGCGATGAAGGGGAAAAAATGGTGTAGGAATGAAATTCTGTACCTGTGATAAGCAAGAGACTGCATCAGCAGAAACCCATTTTGGATAATGTACTTTATCTCGGCAAATAGAGTCAAACAAATCTTCCTCATCTTCTCCAGCAAATGGGGACTGAAAACAATTATACAAAGATCATGTTAGCTGGCAATGCATACGCTATTGTATGTACAGAAAGGATACCTTAGACCTTTAGCTAGTATATTGCATGTGGGTGTTTGAGCAAAATAATAACTTTGTTGGTTTGGTATTTGGTAAGAGTGGTTTTCCGTCAACCGTGAAGTAGTTTTTAATAGACCAATACTAATAGTCTAGGTTAGATCTGATTGATATAGGTATAAACATATTCATCACAAAAACAAGTTTTTTTATTTTAAATTTTAATGGTTATTTTTGTTATGTTAACTAATTAAACTAAACGTTTAATTTATTCAAACTAGTCTTGTTTGTTAGCTGTTAGTTTATGGTTTATATGTCTAAAAGTTATCTTGACTAGTCTATTACTTATTGGTACTAACTAGTTGGTMTATTTCTTTTAATGGTTGACGAAAAACCACTCTAGTACACACATTAGTATTAGTCAATTTTTTATTCAGCAAGTGATTTTGTTTAGGGTATGTGATAAGGCTAATGTCCAGTAGGCATTGCTTTCTTGAACAATGTGAAATAATGTAGTTAATTCCTCAATGATCAGTTTCTGCAGAGATGCTAAAGATATCAGCATAACTTACTTGTCCAATCAGCATTTCGTAAAGAAGAACAGCATACGACCACCAATCAACARCAGAGTCGTATCTCCAGTTCTTTAAGATCTGATAAAGATTAGAAAACATTATTAATTAAATATTAATCATTAGCATCAACAGGAGTAGATATAGAGGTTATAGACAGTGAAAACATAGCAATCATTGCACAATTTAAAAGTGAAGCTTTCTTTTTGTCCATCACATAAAATCCTTCATGCCCCCCTCTTTCTTAATTGTTTGGTCTTCAAATAACTAACCTCTGGAGCTATGTAATCAGGAGTACCACAGAATGTAGTGGCTTTCTGGCCATCAAGAATATTCTCCTTGCACATGCCAAAATCAGCAAGTTTGATGTGTCCTTCACTGTCCAATAAGATGTTGTCTAGTTTAAGATCACTGCAATATGAAAGAAACACATTACAAGTTAATTCATGATAACAGTATGCAATACAATATCACAAGCTATATCTAGCTTACCGATAAATAATCCCTAATTCATGGAGAAATTCCAGACCACAGATAATTTCAGCACCATAGAATCTGAGAAATAATAGCAACTTGTTGGAAACACAAAGGTACATTTTACTGAATTAATGAAATGATACTTGAATAAAATACTCTAAAATAGCACTGATATAATATCCTTGAATGTTAAAACTAAGTTTGCTTGTGTGGGTACCTTGATCTTTTTTCATCAAACTTTCCTGATGACTGGATGTGAAACATAAGATCACCTCCATTGAGATATTCCATCACAAAGAACAGATGATCCTGATAAAGAGAAGTTAWCAATGAATGAAAACAGAATGAACAACTAGTGAATAAATAAGTGGAGCCCATTGATTTTTTTGATTAGTATTATGCAGYCATTCCTAGAAACACATTGGCTGTTGCATTGTTGACTGTCTGCTCTCCCCAACTTTCCCAACCCCTACTTAACCCACCCTAGGTTTCAAATGGTAGCTGTAAAAAGGCAATTAATTATTACCTGTGACTGGAATGCAGAATGCATGTGCGTCAAAAAAGGGTGCCTTGTTGCCAATGCTAAGATTCTACGTTCAACCAAAGTACACTCAACATCATCATCTTCAAGAACAACATCCTTTTTGAGTGCTTTGATGGCAAAAAATTGATTCTTTCCTCTCAATTCACATAATAAAACCTAAAAAATTAGAAAGACAATCATCATCATCATCATCACARCTACCTGGCATATGACCTTGCATGTGGCAATTTTATCATTATCAAAATACCTTTCCAAAGCTTCCTTTTCCAAGTACTTTAACCATGTTAAAATCTTCTATGTGACATTGTTTCAAGTCAAATTTGCTGGTGTCAGTTTTCTTTGTTGGTGGCGTCACAGCATCCCATAATGTTTCATAGACACCAACTGAGTCGTCTTCATCAGAGTCTTCATCGGGATCTCTTGCATTCAACTGTGCACGGGCCATTGCATTTTGGGCATCATTGATTTTTCTCTTTTGAACTGCAGCCTTTGAATGAAGACAAATGCCTGTTTATTATTTCATCATTTTCTTATAATCTTGAGTTTATGTTAAYTTTACCTTAGCCTCTTCAAACTTCTCTGCAAGTTCTTTTTGATTTATACCACATAAATTGGGAACAAGCTTTCTACATTTATGATGACAGTTCATATTACAGGCTGAAAGAAATTGGCATAGTAAAAATTATCAATACAATGCCTAGCAATATCAAGAAACTTTTCCTGTCCATATCTTACCTGTACATTTAACTCCTTGTCTAAACAAGCCATACAGTAGAGATCCACAATGATCACAAAATGTTGGACTCAAATAATTATTTACTTTAAAGATATGAGGGACATCAAGACTAAATCTCTCTTTCAACTTCTGCAAGAAAGCACAAATTGTTWTAGCTTCTGAGAGAAGGATCATTCCTTGTACTAGTGGTTTGCCAGTCATCATGTGAAAATAATTGTAGGATTGTYATGTAATTCACCTCATTTTCTTCATCRTTAGACCCAGGACACTTGCTGAGTATTTTGGAATGACATTTCTTGTGACATGTTAATGTACAAACTGCAAGAAATGAATGAACAAATATTAATCTTCAAGCCATAATTAATCATTACTCCGAAAAACTGTCGATCACTTGCTCTGGCATATACAACCATGTATATCCCATCCATTTATCCTTTCATTTGTTCATATTACCTGAACACTGATATCCTTGTTTGTTGAAGCCCCTGCATGATAAAATAAATTCAATCAATCATAGAATTAACCTATCAATCAATCAACCAACCAACAAACCAAACAATCAGCCAATCAATTTATCAATCAGAACACTAACCTACAATTGTAGCATGCAATTTTGAGCTTATAATACAAATTCTCATGTTTTAAGATGTGCAGGTAACTCTGTGCTATTATTTTAGACTTACTTACCACATAAATTCCTTACACAGAGAACAGAAAACTGGTTGGCGAAAGAATCTGGCAACAAATTTATGTCCTCTAATGACATGTTCTTTTTGTTTTCGCATTGCGCCTCTTCTTCCTGTAAGTCCACTGTGATTCTCATGGGGTTTACCAACTTTAGTAGGATCATCTGAATAACAAACATCAATATTATTATGAATTATTTGTAATTAAGGTTTGGGTGTTAGACAACTACATTACTGTAATCATAACAAGGAATATAAACCTCTTGCTGAAATTATGGTCTGAGCTCCAGTGAATAAGTGTATATAAATGAAATATGATCATCGTAAAATATGAACAATCTATGCGATTACTAATAATAGATGGATACCCAAAAAAAATTCCCTTAAGATTTYGGGCTTCAATGGGAATCGAAACGATGACCTGGATGAATTCACTCAGTGAAGTGACTATGTGCTAACATAGTAGCCTTCAGTTGGTAAAGCAATGCCATCCATGGGTTTAATTCCTGTTGAAGCCTGAAATTTTAAGGGGCTATGCAATTATCATTAACAACCACATAGATTTTTCATAGATTTTTCATATTTCAGTGCAAGAAGCATATTTCACTTACATGAAATATGATCATATAATTGTTGTATCAAACATTTGTTGATATTAATACTACATGTATTACAGCTGTAAAGTGAATAAAACGGATATAAGCATCCAGTATTCAGTACTTGACAATATCACAGCTTTTGTCTTAAGACACTTCAGAAGTCAACGAGGGTAAAAATGCTCACCTAAGACTTCAGTGAAATGACGTACTTGAACAAGTAGATGACCTCCTGGTTGCAAATTCAACTGTAAAATATCAAAAATGAAATAGTCAAATGAGGATATTATTTGCTATTAAAAAAATTATTGGAAGAGATGGTTAACATAAATGTCTGTTGGTTGTAACAATAGCAAAAAAAAAAACAACAACAACAACAACAACAAACAAACAAAGGAAAAACATTTAGAAAAAATGAGTAGTCCTTTTGAACCAAAGTAAGACTTTCAGTATCCACTGAAAAGTCCATTTAATAGCCAACCAATGTAAATACAGCAATTGTACTTTACAAACAGATCACTAAAATGAATGTAAGATCTTTCCAGACCAATATTTACTGCTTTGGTGTTGACATAATACAATCTGGCCAATAAATTACCATGCCTTTCACAGCATTTCACAACATAACATCTGCTAATTGGTTTTTATTACCCTCTTTCAAAGTACAATATTACTGCTCTCTTGGGAATGTCAAACRTAATATTTTACATTTTAAGGGCTTCTAGCAATTTGTAAATTTCAGTTACAATCATTTTCATGTTTGATTTCGAGAATATACTGCAAACACGTTTAAAATAACACTCTAATCAAAATGACAAGCAGCAAGTTGGCGTGAAATGAGAAAAATGAGATTGCAACAATGTACGTTATAGCATGAATTATTAAAAAAGTAGTTGTTTTGCAAGCAGCTCACAAACGCAAATACGAAACAACTCTATATATCTGATTTTAAATGAAGCAACTCCATATCAAAAATGCTTTAGGCTGTGATAAAACGACAATTGATTTGATGTTATGAAGCTTTTACTCAACAAAAAGTTATTGGAGATGAATCAAGGACATGTCAATTCATGTCGCAAAAGAATATTGRGAAATATATATTACATGAGTGCTGATACATTTATAAAGCTTAAACATTAAGACTGGTTAGTTTCATGTCGGTATTTAAAAGGAATCATCGTTAAATATCAAGAAAGAATTCAAGCTTATCAAAATTACGCACCCATACACTCGAATAACCATCGTGTTTGCACTGGTCGACAAGAAACTGCACTCCGATAGACACATCGCCAAGAAATGTGTCTGGTTTTTCTTTGACTACAATAGTAATAACACGACCCTCGTTGTTGTGAGTGTCAAAGCATTTGTTCCAGTCGGGATATATCGTTCTTTTCTTCTGTACTAGAGTGACTCCAACTTCAGTCATGATAGCTTCCTTCACATGCACTGCACAGAAAGGGTCGTACATTTTCCAGCTTGCAGCCGGTTTTACTTCAATTAATTTAACCCTAATGAAACCCATCTTGGACGGAGGTCTTCCAACACTCCTCTTCACAATAAATATCAACTGAAAACGTTCTTTGCCAAACTTGAAATAAAGCTAATGCACAAGTGACTTCATCTCGACGGGTTTACTAACCCGTGACCGAGCACCCATACCTTATTTAGTCTGTATAGCCTTATTTAGATAGCGGTCATGTTTATTTCCGGAATTGTGTGATGTCACAACTTAGGGTGACTCATTTGTACGTCATTATGACGGAGTAATTTGATAGTTTTATTGTTTTTCTTAACACTTTTTTGCGTTAATATTTATCCCACATATTCGTCATGGTTTTATTAAAAAGTATTATGATATGATATATTATTAGAGTTTATCGTAAACAATAACCACGATTTTGAGAGAGAGTTGACATAAGTGCGCTGGATTGGAGTTCCTGTTTAAAATTGATATGTGAAGCATGTTCTTCCTCTTTTTCAAAGAAGGGGTTAATGTGCTGATAGGTGATGTAAAGAGAGGTCTGACCTTCCTGCAGAGTTAAACGGTTTTTAAGTTCCCAGAAAACCCGCTACTGAACCATAGAATCCTRCATAATATGTTGCCCATATCAACAACGAAAGAAAACAAACAAATAAATGTAGTGCATTCAAATGCAGTTTTCGCAGAAATTTAATTCAAAAGGACCTCACCCTGGCGGTCATTAATGTCCGTGACGTAGAGGATGTTTACAGGGGCGCGTCGGCCTGGAATTTCCAAAGTATTTTGACCACAAAACAATAAAGTAAATAACAAAACACGATGAAAAACGTAAACAAGTACAGATGCTTTGCGGAGGTCAGATAGGAAGATTCAAACTAGGAGAACTCATGTAAGAGTGTTCCAAGAACTGGATGGGCTGGCACCTCGAGTGGGGGTAGCTGTAAAGATGCGTAAAAATAGATAAATAATAATAAAAAAAGACAAAATAAAAAATCTTTCTTTTTTTGATATTTAAACTACTGTGAAGCCATGACCTTCTGTGACGTCACTCTTGCGTAAATCCGGACAAACTGCAAAATAGTAACAAAATTTAATAACTCGAAAAATCACTCACAGGAGCTTGAAAGAATTCGATAAATTACAAATGCTATCTTGTATTTCGCAATATAATTGCCWTAGTAGTCTGTCCTTTACGGAACGATACGCTCAAAAAAAAATTGTGTGGTCTTCCTTTGTTTGCAAAAAAGAGTGGGACTGAGTAGCCTATTCTGGAGAGAAAACAGGAAAAGAAAACAGACCTGAAAACATGGGAAGTAAAGCGCGAAAACTCATTCTCCACTTAGACGTAAACAATACTATCTTTGTAGGAGATTCAAAGACAAAGTTGACATCTTTAGATGGTGTTTTGAATGAGTATTTGACAGAAATTTTATGGGGTAAAGTAGATGGAGAAGACCTTTGGAGTCCATTAAACAACCCAATGTCTACTTCCCCTCCCTCGAGAACTGCAATTTCCTACTACAAATATGCAGAGTATATGTTTGAAGAAGCGGGGAAACATAGATCAGAGTTCAAAGACCATGCTAGACGGTTTACACTTGAAGGGATTGGTAAACAATTTCGCCCATACCTAGACAGCGTGAAAGAGAAATTGAAAGTTCCTGAAACATCAATAGTTGATGCTAAGCTGAATGCACTTGTCATGAAAGAAGGTGATRGTTCCTATTACCAGATTCTGCCAAGCTATTTCAAATTACTCACTTATTTGGTTAATAGTGATAGGGAGTTTTCCATTGTACTCAGAACATTTGGGAATGATGGAGACCTTGCTTTGAAAGCAACTCAACTTTACACTGAAAATCAACATCCTGATTTCCCTTTTCCTCCAGGAAAAACACTTGCTGTTGATCCTGATCCAGGAAGAATTGTACCATCCAGCAATGGACTTTCTATCATTACTCCTAATGGTAATACAGTTTCATGCCTTAGCGGCATATATAATACCTTTAGTACATCAACAGGAGTCCAGTTGTACTTAGATAGTTATGACTGGTGGAAGGAGAATGATTTCACTAGCAAAGCTGGGAAACCTATATTGATTGATTTGTCTGATAAATCAGTACAGCATATCATATTTGATGATAATATTAGATCATGGGATCCTAATGATAATATTGTAAGTTTACTAGTCAAGGAACGTGAGCAGTTTCTACAAAAAGACTGCAAGGAGTTTGATGGTCTTTGTCTTTTCAGGACAGACTTGTTTGGGAGCATTTTAAATGAAGATTACTTTATTGAAGTTTTAAATATGTGTGAGAAAAACTTTAATGATTATCAATCAAAAATGAAATGTGCAGTCATTTAAATTTATACAATCTTGTTCTCATTATCATTGTATAAAGTAATGTTTGCAGTCTCTAGGGGAGGGGGTGAAAATGTGTATTGTATTTGTTGCTGTATTTTTTTTATATTTTTTTAATATGTGACTTTAAGGTTAGAATAAAATGTGTAAATAGCTCCTGTGTTGATCATACTTGTAACTTAGGTTGGGCTGATTTTGAATAATATTTAATTACTAAATAAGTAATCTGAGTTATGACAAATAAACAATCTTCACGGTAAAAGSATTTCCTCTATAAWAACAATGAAAACAATAGAAGAGCCCTCGCTCTTAGCGGCCAGTAACCATTCGCATAAATTCAAAATGGCGGACATGAATGGGTTGTTTACAAGAACATGAATTTCAACGCCTCCCCAGAACCGCGCAAATTCATCCAGAATCTTCCTGATGAGATAAAAGGTATTTCARCTAGTATGTGAATTGTTTGTGTTTATAAAGATCGATTCTTTAAAGTAGATTTTTTTGAATTTTTAAATGTAAGCGGCGTTCAAGAGGTGGGTGGCTTCAAAACTTGTTGAAGTTCGGTCTATTCAAGCGACAGCATTTCCTGCGATACACTTATAAAATGTTCTGAATAGACTATCAACATGCATTGCATTGGCGTTCTAGGCTTGAAATGTCATCTTTATTATCTCCTAATTCCTAAATGAGGTTTAAAGGCTTGTACGGTCTGACAGTAGTCTTTCGATGTAGAAATTATTAAGGTGTTGTTAGAATTTATTTCATTTTATAAAAAAGCTGGAAGATATCACTCTACATTTCTGCTGATTTTCTTGTTTTAATGCCAAATATATCGGTTGTTAATATATTGTATTGTAAACAATCGAAACCAAGGTCACTTCAATGTCAACTCTGTTATCGAAATCGTTTGTCAATTACATGTGCATGTAACCTAGCTACATCAATTGAAACTTATCTTATCATTTAACTCTGTCAATTGCCAAACATATCTTAAAGTACGATATTTTTTAATGGTATGTGTGAATCATTTGTATTAATGTACCGATTGTTGTTATGTTTGTCAACTCCCAAGATATCTTTAATAGTATTTTKCRAACCTTTCCTTTGACAAGTGGCCAGCCTTACAACTCTTCTTGAAATTTCCCATGCATTTACAATATACACTACACAACTTTGTCTAGATAKCATGAATATATGCCAAGTTGCAGATTTTTGTGTTAATTTATTATCTATTTAACCACCTYTTGGTTGCCTCGGATCTTCTCAAGCTGCAATATCCTGATAAGAAAGTATATATAGTAATTTATGCTAAAATATCGTGGAGCTAATGAGCTGAGTTAATGTTAATATTGTGTATTACAGAGTCAGTATGGTGAGTGGTACCGTGAGTTAGCAGTATGGCTTTCCTTGATGACGAAGATTTTCTTATTTCACACATACGACATAGCTGCGTGACAAGTGATGATACTGGTAGGGGATTTATGATGATAATGATTTCTTTACTAACAATTAAATGTACCTGACATATGATAACACTGTCCCTGTCTTTCAGGAATGTGTGAAATGGTGATTGTTAATGAAGAAGCTGAAAATGATAAAATTAAACAAAGACGTAAACTATTGGGCAGAAAGTTGCAATCTGATTCTGGATCAATTGAAATGTAATGTGGATTATTGGATAGGAATACTGTTTCATTTAAWTGACAATTATAAGATGTTGGCCTCAACTAAGCTTTCTGTCGYAATATCTAAGTCAGAAGTTCAGCAGCAGCTCTGGTGGTACATGTACTGTAGCCTCTATACATGCTATTACATACCAATATTAAATAATTCAGGAAACTGCTATATCATTGAGTAAACTGCATTATTATCAATTATAGGGATATGGCAGATATTCCTAGCGTTCCACCGTCATTTGACATTGATGTCAGTCCTCTCAGTATGCGCAACCCTAAACCTGGAGGCAAACCAGGCAAAAGTTTAATAGACAGGTAATTGTTTTGTACAGCATTCATGCTTGTTACATRTAYATTGTTTGAAAATCTAATTTGCTTKCTTGMTAAGACATGAAATGAAGACTAGAAACATCCTCTGGAAAGACCCACAAGAACCATTGCCAAGTAAGAAATSATAAACGAATCTCAATACTGTATTGGCTCAGTATTAAAAACATTTCATTTTGTAAATTATGTGAACATGCAATTGTCATGTAAGTGAAAATATTTTTTACTATTACAGCTTTAGTACACTAAAGGTATGTATAAATCTTTTCTKTTATATTCAATAGGTTCTGAGATTGAAAGCCTGTTTAAGAAAAGAACACTCAACAATAAAGCACAAGCAACGTCATCCTCACAGCTTTCAAACTTACTCAAACAAACTTTAAGAAAGCCAAACAATCCATACCTTGATTATGCAAGATTTGATGGAGAGGTAATGAGCCAGTTATTCGAATGTTACCCGAGAGACTAAAARATTTGTTGGTCTAGATTGTGCTACCTGCAAACAAACTCTCCTAGTTCTTTCCCCTAGATAGAAAGAAGAATTTTCTCATTTGTAATGCTATAGATTCTGCTAGCATAGTAAGATTTTGTGACTACTCTTCTGTGTGGACGTATCTAGGAAAATATATAATATGTAAATTATGGCTGCAGCCCAAGGTACAAGTACGGGTTATTTCCTACATCCATAGTACTATTCTTCTTTCATGTTGTGCAGCCCATTCTCTTTGTCAACCTTTTGTAATACATGTAGCTGTACACAATTTAACTGTTCTGCATTGTATCTTTTCCAGGCTTACCAAAGAACTTGCCCAACAAAGAAGCTAAGAATTTTTCTTACAATGGTTGATGAGGTAAACAATACACAGGTCATCTTGAGGATGCAGTTTTTTACATATTAAATAGCATTCTAACTGTATTCTCCCGTGATCTATCCTGGGGAGACTTTTGTCACTATCATCTTGTATGAAACAGTTAAATATGATTAATTTTGTTTTATTTTCATTTGACAGGATGATAAATGTTTTCCAATGTTTGTCACTGTACTCGGTAAGCAGAATAATGTATTTTTACTAATTTTGACATGTGATCATAATAGTCAAAAACTAAAAAATTGATTCATAATAACCAATAATRTTGTTTATCTTCCCAGGGTCAGCAACAGTTCATGAATTAACAGGTCTTATTATGTACAAATACACTGCAGAAAATCTTGAGCCACCACTTCATGTGAGTAGTGAGTTCTGTATGACTGATGTTGATTATAAATAAATGTAMGTTGATAGTTTTATGATGTTAGTCAATGCATTATAAGTTTATTTCCAGTGTTTCAATTACAGGGTCAACCAGACAGATATTGCCTCCAGATCGCTGAGGATGATGGTGTAGTTGATACTGATTTCCCAGGTACCTGTAGTATCTACAATACATGAACMTTATAATACTTTTTGTTTAAAACCACTGTTACTGTCCTGTTTAAAATGGCCATAAAATACTTTTAAAATGCAATATTTCCACAGCTCTTGACAAAGATGAATCAATAACTAAATTTGGTTTCACATGCTTGGCATTAGTTGAGGTAATWCATGGTATWTTTTGTTTTGAGAAATAATYGATAWGGAGCCGGGMGCACTCAACAGAAAAATCAAATGTGCCTGTAGTTAGACAAAAGCAACAATCTTTGATTTTAACTAGAAAAAACTGTGATATACATTGTAGATTGGTCCTAAAGCTGCACCTCCAAAACAAGCTGTTGCTGCTTCACCTCCAAGTGCTGGTGCAATTGTAAAAGTGTAAGTACTGTGTATGTTGAACTTACACAAGTCTTGATTTGTKATAATAATAAATTATACGGTTTCAGATATGAGCCTYTGCGAGGATATGCTCAGGTTAAAGTGGACAGCACAAAAGTTAAGATGAAAGTTGTTTTTGATAAAATGTTGAAGAAGAGAAATCTAAGGAGAACAGGCCATGAATATGTGCTAGAAAAGGCATCAGAACCTGGAGTATCACTGGATCTTGAAGCACCACTGGCATCCATGGGGACACTGGAGTTTGTCTTAACAAGAGGAGATAGTGAGTACTAGTGTTTCTGGTACAATGTGATAAGCACTGTTAATATTGTGCATTTTATAACAAGAACTTAAATTGTATCCTCTGTCAGTGATGAAATCATCATGAATTTTCTTCCAATCTCACAGGAACAAAACCAAACCCTGCTGAAAAAGACGTCAAATTTGACTTCACTAGTTTTCAATATAAGGTACATTCTACTTACACTAAATATTTTTTGATATTTCATCAATATCTAACCTAAGTATCATGCTCAGTGTGAGAAAAAATTGACAGGGTTSAAAGAATAGGGAGACTTCAATTCTTGAAGGCCTGGTGCTCAGGATGATTTCTGTTACTGTCATGACATTCACTTTTTTGTCTTCACAGTCTTATAGAGTTCATATGCTTCATAAACTGAGAACTGTTACAGAAGTACAATTAGGTAAGCCCAGCATGACAAACACATACTCTAAAATTGTCTAGTATTATTAGGTGTGTAGGGAGTTAAACAAATGTGATGAATACTGTCAYGTTCACAGGTATTTCAAAAGAAATTTTAGAGATAGTTCCTGTTAGTGCACCAAAAACTACTAAACTATGGCTTGTCAAGCAAAGACCAGTAAGTATAAATTACATTTAATCTTCTTGATTTTCAGTGTAAAACTACATTTGTGATAATTTGTGTGTCAAAGGATTTATAATGTACTGTATGCATTAAGTGTTCAACCATGTTTTTAACAATGATGTTGTAATATTATCTGTATTATTGTCCAGGTATCGTATGACATGGACTACATTGTAGATTGTGAAATGACTGATTCAAGAAATACTGGGCGAATAGCTTTCAGGATATCATATTTCAGTCAGAATTCACATGAATACAAACATCATGACTTTGAAGCTGATAGTCAAATGACAGGTAATGGGATATATTACAGGCTATCAACCTGACATCTTTTGTACCTTAGAAACAAACCTCTATAGAATCCTACACAACTATACAGACGTCAAATTTACAACTCTCAATACTGCCAAATTCTACAGGATCACTAGAACAACAATGACAACAACAACAGTTCTCCACAAACCTCTAGTAGGTCACTTGCCTCCAGTCCCTTATTCTTCTAACAATTTGAATGTATTTCACTTTTCAGATGAAATAGTCAAAAAAGTCAACCACATTTTTAGGTCTACTGTAAGTGAAAAGCGACGGGAATTTCAGGCATCCAAAGAAAAGAAAGCAGAGAAAAGAAAGAGCATTAGATAGTAGTAACTKTAGTAGGATTGTAATACACATGATTGTTTACTAGATAATTAATTTCACCATATCACAAATTAATGAGAAGAGAATTTGATATTAGAATGATTTCTCAGCTTATGGCTATAATCAGACCATCAATCGAACAGCAATGTCTGTGCAAATGGAGAATAGTAATGATATTTCTTGTTAATGATGATTTACATGTAAATTGGATTTTATTAGCCTGTGTACATCCGTTTCCCACCCCTCCCCCCTCCCCCCCCCTACGGAGAAAATTCGGGGAGGAAGGCCTCTCTCCCTGATTTTTTCTGAGGGGTGAGAAACAGATGTACACAGGCTAGATTTTATCTGCTGGATGTAGTTTGATCTAGTGGAAACCACTATTCACCCTTCGCTCAACTGACCACAAAACTGTAAATAATTTTGAAAACCTTCTTCTATGTCCTGAAGTGATTAATCTTAATACTGTATTAGTAGGTACAACATACACTTCCCAGTTAATGGTAGTTTGATCTAACTAACAAATATTTATAAAGATAATGATCACACAGTTACGCACAAAGGTTTTATTCAGGCTCTRCATTGGGCATAAAACACTTTCTTCCTTAAAGAACTGTTAGTGGCTTGAGCCTTTTCTTCCTTACAATACACAACTTTCAAAAATGGCTGTAGTAACGACTGTCAATATTGGGGGACTAGTGACGAATAATGGAAACGAGACCTCAAAGGCCTTACATCTAGAAATCACTACGAAGCTTGCTTGTATGGAAATGTCCAAACGTTTAAAAGATGAATTGTATGTTATTTTAATAACAAAACACTCTTGCAAGACACAATCAAAGTGTACTATATGGAGGCTGGCCTTTGAGACCATTTTAGTGCTTCGTCCAAGGGCTCTGGTCGGCAACCGTGATATATCGGGCCATTTTTGAAAGTTGTGAATAATTTGTCGTGAGTACTGATCTTTACAGATTTCATGGATAGTAATTGCAAGAAATACAGTTTTCCTTAGGAAGTACTAAAATAACTACATGCAATGTAGTTCTATGGTTTGAATTTATAATTGGTTCAAAATTATATTTAAACTGTCTGGTTATTTTTTGAAACTGTTCAGATTAATAAAGCATATGAAAAATGGTAAATAAAAACAAAGTGATATGTTATATATTAATAAGTGTTAACTTGTTGTTAAGTGTTCTAGTTTGAGTTATTCTTGACAACCAATTTTATGACAATTCATTTAGAGCTGATATTTTAGGATATTATATGGCAACTGTTTATTTTAATTGATGTTACCAGTCAAGTACCTCAATTCAATGAAAAACTGTATTGTTCAAGTTCCTTATTATGTTCATTGTCCAGAATATTTAGGTGGACGTTTCTCTTTGAAAGCAAGCAGTCCTTCTAGTCTGTCTTTAGTAGGGATCACTTGAGCATAACACATTTCCTCTACAGACAGGGAGGAGYTRAGATCCATCTAAAATATAAAGTAAWGTAAGAAATTCCTTYATGTTTTTGTCAAAAGAAATTACAACTTTACAATCAGATAGTTCTGACATCTTRAAGTCAAGTAAGATAGTGGGGACATACCTCCATGCCTTTGTTGATGGCCAGTTTTGCCATTTTCACTGCAACAGGTCCCTGAGGTAAGATCTCTTCAGCTAAAGTCAAAGCTCTTTGATAGGCAGCATCCCCATCTTCATTCTGTTGTACTCCATACTCTGCCAGACCAATGTCTGCAGCCTCTAACCCATTTACAACTCTTCCTGTAAAAATCAATTCCTTGGCTTTTGAAATTCCTACTAATCGTGGAAGCCTTTGGGTGCCACCTGAAAATAGAAAACAAAAAAACAATATATCAAATCATGAAAACTCTTAAACATGAGGTTCTTTAGAAGAATTGTCAAAGAAATAATATTGCTTGGGCAAGGTTGGCTGCATAACTGAGGGATGTGCACAGGGATCATGCAAGTTATAGTTACCTGCTCCTGGAATAATGGCCAGTTTTGTTTCTGTTAATCCTATTTTTGCATTACTTGCAGCAATTCTAAAGTCACAAGCTAGAGCAAGTTCTAATCCACCACCCATTGCATGTCCATCAAGGGCTGAAATTGTAGGCATTGGAAGATTGCTCAATTCATTGATAGCCCCTCTAGCACTAGAGACAAATGGACCAACCTCTTCTGGTCTCATTTTTGCTCTTTCTTTTAAGTCTGCTCCTGCACAGAATATTCCTGAAAGCATTTTGAAATATTTTAAAATAATCAAAATATGAAAACAAACTAAAATGACTCAACAAATGAAATGGTAACATGAAAATCCTGTGAGAACGTCTACTAACCTTTTGCATCACTCTTGATAATAATTGCACGAACATTCTTATCATGTTTAACAGATGCTAGGGCATCCAAAAACTAGAGAATAAAACAAAAAACTTGGAATGCTAATTTGTATTTATGGTGGGCTCCCTGTGTATCTAGTGATACTCACTAATTTAAGAAATTTCTTGTTCATTGCATTTTTGGCTTCTGGTCGATTGATGACAAATAGCGCAACACCTAAAGTAGACATTGCATTGTTAATTAATAGTGCTGAAGATTTAAGCTWAYTTTTTTTGATGAGAGCTACGAGCTAGCTGATAGGAAAAATCWAGCAACCTTCYTGTGGTCCATCTAGGTAATCAAGACGAAATTCTTCGGCTTTATGTTCATGTTCTTGACTTGAGAGAAAAACCTTTTGAGAACCAACTAAATTTYTTGGCTTTGTTAAAAGATTTTTGCAGTAAAATGGAAAGAAAAAATTCCTCGTTTTTGCCAGCAGTGCCGCCATCTTGGAAAAGTTCAATCTTGTGTCTGATTGGCCACTAAACAGCTGTAGTCAGCCAATAATTGCAGACGAACCTGTTGTGAACACAGCTGGGTGGGTTACCTTTGGATTTAAAGATGGCGGCCATACAAGAACCGTGTTCATTCTCTAATCCAAAACAATGCATTTGTACGCACATATCATGGTTTGTCAAAGTRAATTTTRATACTCATATTCTTGAATGTGTGGCAGATCTGACTTTTGAAGTGAAACAAGATGGGATCAAGTGTGTGGTAAGTTTATAGTGAAACATGAGACAAACTGCGCCGCGCCAGGTACGATGACTATTGGATTATTGTGGACTTTTAGCGATTGATCGTTGATRTTTCGCGTATCTACTCAGTGTATTCCAATGTTAATTACTTTTGAAAGTATGTATGTTTTCTTAGTAATCATGAATAGAGCGCGAAGCGTGCAATATCATTTCAATTGAATTTTCTTTTTCAATTTCAGTTCTAAATTTAAGCTTACAAATTTAAGAAGCTTAAATATTTGTAGTGTTTTTTGGCATTTGATCAATGTGACTGTTATTGKGTGTTTGTATAAATCTATAGTTCTCATCTGGTGTCCCTAGGGACCTGTGCTCAAAGCTTGCTTCCATATATCTGATACTTTTTTGATTTTTGAAAGGGATTGGACACTAGTGAGCTAACCATTAATTCAGTTCATAATAAAAAGACGAGCAACAAGCTGCCATTCAAACTTGGTGACAAGCATGAGAAGTTTGGTACACCATTGTACATTGATTTACCACAAGGATCAAACAAGTAAGTCTTCAGGGCCCTGGGTGCGTTTCTTTCAACATGGAGGGTGCATGATGGGAAATTAAGGGGTACATACTCCACATGCCTCAGTCATCTCAAAACAGAATGATATGCTTAGAGTGYAGTTTTATATTTTGTTTTGCATTCAATCACCTTTATTTAATATATTATTGTGTACATGTCTCTTAATTGCTTTCTTTGAAAACATGGAACAGSGGCTCCCAAGTGACCATTACTATTGAATATAAGTCATCAGCAAATGCTTCAGCTGTCCAGTGGCTTAAACCTGAACAAACCTCAGGAAAGAAGCATCCCTATTTCTTTACACAATGTCAGGTACTGCACAAAAATAGATTTATTAAGTGATATTAAAWTTGTTATTTTGTATTCATTAAAAGAATATTGTGACACAGGCAATCCATGCTCGTAGTATCATTCCCTGTCAAGATAGTCCTGGTATAAAAACTACTTATGAAGCACAGGTATTATAAATTTTGATAGTTAATCTTCTTTTATTTTTGGTGACATTGACACACGTGCAATGTAAAGTACCAAATAATAATTTTAGCAAAATAAGCTGCTATTTTAATTATAGCTATTATATTTGTTGAGGTTTCTGTTCCAAAAGGCCTTGTTGCATTGATGAGCGCCCTCAGAGAAGGTGAAACTGTTGATCCTAAAGACTCAAGTAGAACTATCTACCAGTTTAAACAAGAGGTATTGCAGTGTAAACCACTTCCAAGCTATTATTTATGATATAATGAAAGACTTAACATTAATTAAATGTACAATATACTAATGGCTTTTGTTTTGTAAATAATTCATTGATTTGTTTTTTTAAAGGTGTGTATTCCAAGTTACCTTATAGCGATGGTTGTGGGTGCATTAGAGTGCAGGTGATACATGCCAAAATGATCTTCATGTTTCATGCTTTATCAAGAGATTAAACCAAAGCTTACAGATATTTCCCTGGATTGTATTTGATTCTTACCGTCACAATAWTATATATGTTTTTCAGAATTGAAAACAAATTATTTGTCATTTTTTAGGAAAGTTGGACCTCGATCACATGTCTGGACAGAAAAGGAAATGCTTGAAGAATGTGCTTATGAATTTGCAGAGGTCTTTTACAAACTAATACTTTCTAAAATATATATTACATTTGAACTCTAAAGTGCTTGAATTAAGTATAAAATTTTGTGCTTGTAATTTATTATTAAACTGTAGATGGAGACAATGGTGAGCACGGCAGAGTCTTTGGTTGGAGAGTATGTCTGGGGTCTGTATGATCTTCTTGTGCTTCCTCCATCATTTCCTTAYGGTGGGATGGAAAACCCTTGCTTAACTTTTGTCACACCAACACTACTGGTGAGTACAGAAAATCAGTATCTAGTGAWTCTGGCAAGGGAAATTAGTACTTATAATGTTTTTGTATAATTTCATTTCTAGGCAGGTGATCGCTCTTTGACATCAGTGAGTACAATGTTACCAACAATGTACATGTAAAAGTGTGATTGTTAATGATACTGATCATGTTGTTTTTGATTTTTTTCTCATTTCAAGGTTATTGCCCATGAAATTGCGCACAGCTGGACAGGGAATTTGGTAACTAACAGAACTTGGGAACATTTTTGGTGAGTGATTGATTCATTCCACCACCAAAAACCAAATATACCTGACAGTTTCCCTTTGTAATGTATTATCCATTCTTTTTTTGTGTTGTTATTTTGTTATTGGTTTTGTTTACTTATAATTTGTGGTATTATTTCTAGGATGAATGAAGGTTTTACTGTTTTTCTTGAAAGAAAGATCATTGGTAGGATGAAAGGAGAAAAAATGAGACAGTTTGCATTTATAGGTCAGTTCATATAAATGTGATAAACATTAATATTATTTTAGTTCATCTATGTTGAGAAACTAGCTYGATCATCTATTTTCAGGAGGATGGAAAACATTAATTGATGCTGTAAGTAAGCAAATGCTTTCATCTTAAGATTTTGTGAATCTTAAAATATTTATTTTGGTGTAAAGGTATCCAAGTTTGGTGAAGAAAGTCCTTTTACACAACTTGTAGTAACACTTAAAGATTCTGACCCTGATGAAGCATTTTCCAGCTTACCTTATGAGAAAGGTTCCTGTTTCCTATTTTACTTGGAGCAACTTGTGGGTGGACCTGGTAAGAACCTGTCAGTCATTGCAATCAATGGTTTTGACAAGATGACAATACTTATGACACAGAAGATAATGATAATGTGGATGAATGGTTATAGCTTTTTTAACTCTTTATGAAAACAATATCATAATATTGTTCACAAAAACTATGTTTTTAAACAACAATTTTGTACTAGATAATAGTGATAATGCTGTCTTTTGTTGATGGCAGTTGTTATTATCATCAAGAAGTATTATTAATTAATCATATTTTTCAGATGTGTTTGAACCATTCTTTCATAAATATATTGATACCCACAAATACAAAACTGTGACAAGTAAAGAGTTCAAGGATTATTTCCTGGAWTATTTCAAAGATAAGGTGAGTATTGATTACCTGAATGTAGTAAATTGAAATAACTCCTTGATATTGAAACATGTTTAACAGATAAACAATCAAAGCTTTAAATACCTAATGCTTTGCCTTTAARTCTGTATAATGTGCTAAAAAATAGAAAATGTAGAAAAAACATTGTGTGTTTTGTAGGGTGAGGCTCTTAAAGATRTAGACTGGGATACTTGGTTGTATGGTGTTGGGATGCCACCTATCAATATGTTAGAAAGGCAAGCGTCTAATTACAACACTAGATGAATGACGTACACATTATGACAGAAAGATAAAATGAASTTGTTATCATGAACTATTGATTGAAGAAAATGTTGAAGAAATGAGTGGTTTGATCTTAGTTTTATAATGGTTTCCTGGGGCTGTTGAAAATACAGTTTCTTTCCTTTTAGGTATGACACAACTCTTTCAGATTCCTGTACCGAATTGTGTCAAAGATGGATTAATGTGAGTTTGCATATTTTAATCATCACAGTCAACCGTTGTATGTTTGATTATGAGCAAAAACCAAGACATGTTTACAAATGTATGATATGTTCCCTAGGCAAGCAAAGATGATCTGTCTTCTTTCTCGTCAAAAGATCTGGAAGGATTCAGTTCTGCTCAGGTCATAGAATTGCTTGCACAGCTTCTTGTCCATGTAAGTTCATGTCATCATTAACCTGATGTTATCTTCAAGAAGCAATAACTTTTTTTCTCTTTTAGTCGAAAGAAAATCCCTTTCCGTTGGAACATATTGAAGCAATGGAGAAAGCATACGAAATGAACAGAAGAAAAAATAATGAAATCAGATTTAGGTATGACAATGCTTTTCACAGATGCCGGAAATACAATTTGTTTGTTCATATATTTTTTTTTTCGGTGAAGTTTTCCCATTAAACTGAAATTGATAGAATTATCTTACTTATGACTTTTATTTCACTTTGTACCAGATGGCTTCGTTTAGCAGTTCGTAGCAAATCCAAGGAAGCTTTCAGTC